CTATGCTGCTTTTCGTCAGCTTCAAGATGTATTAAATTCTCATTAAGTCGTTGCTTGCGTTAATTTGTTATTCCTAATGCAGTTGTTCAAGACCGTACAAGTTCATCCAACAATTATTAGATTGATAACTTATTTACAATGCTGAGAGTTCGAGCCAGGTTAAAATTGAATTAAAATATATTCTTACAATTGACGTTTCACTTGGATTTTTGAGATCTCCCCAGAAATCTTTATTGAACAATAAAAGGTGATAATTCTAAAATAAATATGCAGTATAGATTAAAAAATAATATGACATTCTTGTAAATATCTGTATATCGCACTAAAAATATATTGACTTAACTATTGTATATGTTAAAATGTGTTTGTACATACGCTACGTTTAAATTACCAAGGTTAATATTAAATCGCTTAGGACACTAAAGAAACATCTTTGTTCTCGGTCATAATAGAGAACCTATTACTGTTGGATACCTCTACAAAGGTCTAACACTCATTTACATATCTATACACCTTTGATCTGTTCTGTCATACAAGGCCACGTAACACTACATCACCGCAATAACTACTTGAATGACACCGAAAGTCAAGATCTCTTTCAAAATTTTGTAAAATGACAGCAATGACAAAACAAAATAAATAAAAATGATAAGTATTACTTGAAATCCGATAAAAGGGCAAAATTAATACGTTTGTAATATGAAGTAACTGAAATTAGAAATAAAAATTAAGTTACATTTAAACATTCTATTCAAAGTTTTATGTTGATAAGTAATATTCAACTCATCTTCTTGTCTATTAATAGTATTATCACTAAAAAAATATGCAACATTTCCGATATTTTACGTTTATTTTCAACTGTCTCGCATTTCCACATACTAATGCTATCTCATTTAAAAGAATGTGTTAAATTATTTAACAAATGTTATAGAATTGAAAGCTTCTTCCTGTAAAGTCTTTGTGCAATGCAAAAGGTGTTTGGTTTGTTTTATATAAAACTAAGGACAACTGTCACAATTCAGACGATATACGACATTATTCTCGTCGCATTTTTTTGGTACGTAATTTGATGCCTAATTTCACAGTATCAGTGAACTTATTAGTCTCAGTGGGAATACATTGAATAGGACGCTTTATAAATACGGTCTATAATTTAATTCCAGGCAATGATTACATTATGAGTGCAAAAAAGATGCTACTCTATTTCTGCTAAGCGCATACCTCTCAAGAATAATTACAATTTCCGTTTCTTCTTTAAATTTTTAACGAAGTCTCAATGAAGAAGATAACAGAGCAAAAGAATTATTTATACAGCTGGTTGTGAAGCGAGCTGTTGGGCGGTTAATCTATACTCGTATAAGAAATAAATGTACGGAAGTGACCCCCATAGTAGAAATACTGCAGAAATACTGATAAAGACAGTAGGATTGTAGAAAATGGCATATTAAAATGATGAACGTCGAAGAGCCTGCCAGTACTATTGTTTGATTTGAACGAGAAGGATACCGTCTGGATTTAGACCCGACGGAAATATCTATAGAGAAGCTGTGTAGAAGTGGAAGCGGCACCAAGTGAATCGATGAAAAAATAGAGACGTGGACAAGCGAACGACGAAACAAAAAGGAGGATTGTCGATGGGCGCGTAGCTACGAGCACAACTTGACTCTTGCCTTTGCGCAGATACGTCATTGAAGTACGTTAAGCCGGTGTTACACGGCGCAGAAGCCGGCGTGGTATTGGCTCTGGTTTTCGGGCGAAGAGGTTTCGCTGCGCCAAGCCGCGTGTTTGCGGTTTTGCTGCCTCCATAGTCTGGCTGGCTGGCGCTCACTGCCTATATGTACTGCGAGCTGCCATCCTGCAGCCCCTTAGCCGCCCGCGGCAGCGAACGCATCGCCGGCGAGCTCCTCGCGCTCGACCGCAACGAGCTTTACTTGTTCGCCACCGTTTGCACAGCTGGAGTACGCCCTTGGGCCTCTTCGATTCGGTATGCCGTCGGCCCGGGGGGAAACCAAGCGCTTGCTTCATTAAAAGTGCTTTCATCTTTTAATCGACTGGCCTGTACTTGACACAGCTCGATCGTGCTGGGTACCCAGTTGAAGATGGAACAAGGTCAACGTACACGACACCGTAACGTTCATATTTTTACGCTGAAGAAACGGCTTGCAATGAACAGAAATCAAATTGGCAACAAGCACGAGCGTCATGCTCGAGTGGCTATATAAATTAAGAATAATGCAGAAAAGTTTAAAGCCGAAAGCAAGCAGAAGAGAGCTAGGAAGCATCGGAGTGAAGTGCAAAACTCGGAAACTCGGCGATTATTCAATGGGTTTCTCGGAGCGCGAGCTCTTTCATAGAGAGAGAGAGAGAGAGAGAGAGAGAGAGAGAGAGAGAGAGAGAGAGCGAGAGAGCTTGCTAGCTCGAGGTTATTTCGAGTCGAAAGTGAAATTCGTAGCCGTCGCTCCTCTCTCTCTCTCTCTCTCTCTCTTTCTCTATTGTGGTCCGCTATTGCACCAAGCTCAACTATATACTTTGCCAGAGGGATGCTATGTCTTAATAATACAAGCCGACTAGCAACAGCCCCGCCAGTTCATTACCCATTCCCGAGGCTGTGCGCCCGCCGCTAGTGGCCTCGAATCGAGGATAACGAAGCTGCCTCCCGAGCTCCTCCTTCCAGCTTCTTGTTCTTCTGCTTCCGGCTTAGTCGCTTCTACTTCGTACCGCTCTCCGCGATCGACAACCGGCAAAATCACTCCTTCGACCAGCAATTGATAGATCGACTAGTCTAATTAATTCGGCCATGATAATTTGATTGCCTCGAGAGAACAGAAATGTTAACGAGTGCCGGATTCTCCCTCTCGGTCCTTGAGTCTTGTTCTTGCGCCGTCTTCTCATTATCAACACTTCCTCGCGAATACTTGAGATTCTACAAAGATTCAATTACTCTAGCTATAGGCACGATCCGATCCTCGGATGAGACTTGGGTCTTGGTTTAATCAGCAAACAATGTCATTAGAGATATAAGCCATTACAGCTACTAATTAATTATCCGATAACTTTCGACTGTTGTTTCCTTGCGTTATAGGAAAATTGAACCGCCTCGGCAGTTACGTTCACATACCAATAGAATAGGTGACCAAGCGAAACGAATTAGAAAAACATATATAGCTGCCGCGAGCTGCTCAGCAAATAATTCAGTTAGGCGCTGCAAGTAAACAGGCAAGAAATTCAGTTAAGTGACGATTGCGAGTGTTTGAGTAGCAGTAGTCGAGGCTTGCAAGCGCTCAAGGGAACTTTGCGGCCCCTTCGCGGTGACTTGTACTCTCCCTGTGGTATTGCTCTGGCTGCCTGCCTGCTCGGCGGCGGCACCGCCACTACCACCACTGCCACGAGCAAGCCGCACTGCTTGCTGTACTTCGAAGGAAAACCGACGAGGGATCGCTAATACTAAACGCGTCTCTTAAGCTTCTCGACAGCGCTCCCAAGAGCACCAGGCTCCTCCGCTGATTAGCCTCCACCTAATAGTCCCGCATCCTTTTTTTCCTCTACCCGCGACAAATTACACGTCCTCGTCGATCTGCAATCAATACAGCACGTTATAAACACTTGATACGAGAGATCGTTCGAGCGAACAACAGCCTATGCTTCAATAAGTGTACGGTAAGTGGCAGCAATTTAACTTCACTACTCCAACCACACGCGCAGCAAATATGTATGTACACTGTGACATAGAAATTGGAGCTCATGATGTAGAGTTGCTGCGTAACCACGAGTCTTGCGCTCTGGTAAGCCGCTGATTATTGCGATTCAAACGCGTGCTCGAGTTCACTGGAACTATCACGGGAAAACGCGATATGACTGGACTGGAAAAGGAAGAGATGTAATATTCCAAGTGTTGTTGAAGCAATTCATCAAAGTGATGGACGTAATGGAAATTTTTTAATTTAAAAAAAATTTCTTTGCGTGTCCAGTCGAGTGTAAGTTCAAGTGAAATGGAGAGCACGTCCCTGGTCGCCAAGTAAATTTGGAGCAGGTCTCGATCTGGCACGCTTCTCAAGTTGCAGGGACGTTTAACAAACCGAGGTCGAACTAATAAAGAAGAAGAGAGAAAAAGGGGGAAAAAGGGAGAAAAAGGGATCGACTGGACGCCCCTAACAAACCCTTCTCAAGACCCACTTCAGCGAATCTAATCTCCGTCTGGTCAGTGTGTGCTCTCTCGCCCTGGCTCTGCCTGGGAATTTCCGAAAATTCCGGCCGCTCGAGTGGCTCCTGAATTCAAAGGAATACGAGAGAGAGAGAGAGCAAAAATCCGCATAGTCCCGAGGAGGATCGAGCGGAGCTCGCGCCTGCTGGCCTCGCAGAGTCGCGAAGCCAGAGCGCGCAAGGCCACTTCTGGCAGGTCTCCAAGCTCTGCGGAGCCGCAAGGCCCGATTCAATTTGCCCGCTGAACGCGCGCCTCCCTTTTCCTTCGTTGCCGCTGCTGCTCGCATCGATCACATCTCGCGCCCAGCTCGGCCTTGCTGGCACGTCATTGGGATTCGCGAATCCATCGCGCGCGCGCTAGCGCGAAATGCAAAAACCAGTTGCCGCGTCTGAAGCTTTTTTTTTGCAAAGCGCGCCCTGGCTGCTGCTTTTTGCGCGCGGAGCTGTTTTAATGAATGCGATTCATTGGAGGGTCTCATTAAAATGAAGTGTCGCACTCTGCACGCCCCGCCGATTTTCCATCGCAATCCGAACCTCAGCGGAACTTTGAAGCGCGTGCACGCCGCTCTCGTTGCCGCATCTCTGTTCCGCGCCCGCGCCTGCATATTCACGCGACCCCGCGCTTTGAGCCCCTCTGATTTTACCTTCTATTTCGCTTTCACCACGCGCCACGTCGCCAACTCTTTTTTACAGCGCGATGCGATTCGACGGACCTATGACTTCGGCTGCAAGCACCTCGCGTCGGTGCCATTATCTTTCAACCATTTCTCCGTCGCACCATCAAATCAAGCCTTACTTACTTTGTACGTCCCCAAATTCTTTACTGCGCATGCCAGTCGGACGTTTCTGCCTGCAGCCACCGTTATGTTACCGATCTCTTTCACGAACTCGGGCTCCAACACTGTAGCAGCTGTAAATAAAAAACAGACCTATTCATTTTTACTCCTGACCAATTAATTAGTTATTTTATAACTGACTTTTTAAAGCAATACATAAAGATGTAAATTTTATTCGTGAAAAGGTGGTTTGGAGGATAACATTTCTAAACTATACGTGTATTTTATGTTAAATGTAATAACTGCCGACTCGTTATACACAGCAGCCTGATTCTCGCTTACCACTATGTTAAACTACATCGTATAAAATTTTTACAATTAATATTCGAGGCCATTCCCATGCCCGTCTCTACATATTTTCTTTTTATTTCAATAATTCGTTGTACCTTGGGTAATACGTTAGGATGAAAAAACTTGTTTGCGCAGTACTTGAAATGCCGTCAATCTAGAATTTATAAGCGAAAGTAGGTTGCGTGCTTCGCTCAGAAATATATAATCATGCCGATGCACCCGAGTTGTTTTCAAGCTATCTAACTTATTTTAAATGAATTAGTTGAAAAAGACATTTTTATGTCTGTTAGAGACCTATATTCAAGGATAATACAAAAAAATGAAACAATTTGTCATTTGAAAAACCAACGTGCCCTTATACGGAAGAACGGCGTGCGGACAATTGAGTGCGGTTTTATTGTACACACAAAATATTTTGCACAGAAATATGGATGAATCAATCCTTACGCTAGTGTATAATCGTTTCTCTGTATAATAATAATAAAACCATGCGCAATATTCCGTACGCCGGAAAAGCGATGCGAGCGGATTCTTAAAGACCGCGCTTACGGCTCTTGAGAAGAAATAATGCGTGGAAAAGTAAAGATTTAGCAATGCACTCTTTCTATCGTGCAGTAGCAGCGAAACAAACAGAGTCGTTTTCGATCTGCATGGTAGTGTTTAAATCCGCGACCATTTCGACAATCTTTATGTACGTACAATTCTACGATCTGACGCAAACAGGTCGAGAACTTTACCCAACGGAAATAGCTCGTACAAGTTAAAATTCGGTGAACCTTGATCCGAAAATCATGTGGAAAATGTAAAAGTTCTTTGTTTTATGTGAATATTTTGAATAAAAAATTCAAATTAATAACATCCAGTCGTACCGACCTGAGAATGTCGCACATCACTTATCGACGCACCTGGCGGTGTACATATACCTAAAAAAGCAGCTACAACATCTGTTTCTGCTATTACAGAAGATTCTGTACTTCAGAATTCCCCAAAATTAGATAAATAAATCAAGTATATTACAAGATGTGTATGTATGGATAAGATCAAAATAAACTCTTCCGTACATACATATTATGTTTGAAAGCAACGCACGTATACATATTGACACGCGCATGCATTTGCCATTTGCGTATAGCCGTAAACATTTCACAGTTAATTCTGCACGATCTTTACAATTAATTCTTCGTACTATTGTTTTTCGTTTGTAGTAATGCATCATACGTACTAAAAATCTACGACAACGACGTACACGTGTTGAGCTCGTGCGAAAAATACCTTGGACATCAGCTCGGAACTACTCGTAGGCACCAATTGTTTCGAGTGATTTGGCTTCGCAAAGCTTTTTACAATTGATTTCTCAGTCAAACAATTTTTCAATTACATTTCATTTGGGAATTGAATATTCAATATTTTCAAGATGAATTCAGCGTGCTTAGTTTTTTTCTATAAAAAGTAAAGCCAATTTATAGCACATTTATATAATGCTGAATATTTTTTGCTTCCAAATAATAAAACGAGCGGTTTGTTATTACGAGATAAGCAAGTTTCTTTCGGACTGTTTGACTCGTACCTCGTGCATTTATTTATTACCCTGCCTGGCATTTATTTATTACCCTAGCTGCAGTTGCACACAAATCTTACAAATGTCAAAACAAAATGTTCCATTGACATTCTATAATCAATAACGTTGCAATGAAATGTGATAGTCAAAAGGTTAGTAAGAACGCGAGCTTGGAAACGACTGATTCACTTCAACTATTTCAAAATTAGATGTCGACGTTGCGAATAGTGAAATTCATTTAGTTAAAATGCTAAAGTTTTTGGTAACAGGGTGCTGAAATGATCCATACGTGATGTTTCATATCAACTGAACCGCAAACATCCGGTAGAACAAAAAGTTTTTATATCATTCAAATGATATAAACTTATGATTTGGAATTGCACGAATAAATTTATGTATAGATAAAATTTCGCCATTTGACGAAGAGATATCAATTAATTAATAAAGTTTGGTATCGTGTCACGGAAAGATGTTTGCCAAACTTTTTATCGATTGTAAGTTTGGCGAAAGTTTGTAAAAAATGTGGACTCTTTTTTTCACGGGCACGTACATCAATCTATGCAAATGTAAAATGACGCGCTGATAATGAAAGAAGGAAAATGCGCGTAGTAAGAAAAGACGCGAAAGAAAAAACAAAGGCCGAGGTGAAAGCAAGAAGGAGGACAAGAAAAAAAAAGAAGGCTGATACACGATGCAACTGGTGTAGCGTCTTAGGGAGTCACTTTAAATCCTTTCTTATGGAGCGCGGCTGCCTCACGCGCCGGCCGTGACTTTTAAGGCGGATCGAAGAGACTACTTCGCTAGCCGGCAAGAGACTACTAGCATATTCTCTTTGGGACACTGCCATCGACTCTGCTATATACCCTTAGCTTCTTCAAAAGAAACTCGCATACCTGCACTTCTTCCTTTGTGTGTGTGTGTGCGTGCATGCGTGCGTACACGTGTGTGTATGTTTCTGCACGCCTCTGAGTCTTTGACGCGGCTTCGAGAGAAAGACATGGGAAAAGAGTAGCAAGTTACATCGAAAGAGCAGCCAATGTAAAGCGATACCGAGAGAGCAAGAGAGAGAGAGAGAGAGAGAGAAAAGCACAGGTCCGAAGAGCGACCATCAAAATTATGTTAGCATTCTTTTGTGGAAGATGCGGCGATGCAGCAGCTCCAATTCTTGCTGAGACCGGTCGAATATCTCTTGGACTGTCGTTTCTAGCACTCGGTATTATTTACTGATTTTTTTATGTGAAACCCCGAGAAACATCGCAATCTTTGACGCTGTACTAATTACAATTATGAAGATCCAATTACCGGTTGTCGACGAGGCGCCAGTCAAACGTAGAGGGGTTAAGCACCCTATTCAACGTAATTCACTATTAATAAGGTCGTAATCATATTGAAATTTTAGAGTGGAATGAAGATTCGCTGGAAGCTACGTAGCGATGTCGAAGAGCGAATAGTGTCGCGAATATCGTCGATATTCGCGAGCACTCAAGGAGCTATTTCATTATGCGGCTCATCTCATTCGAGCTGGTCTGCGAGATATGAAGGATCATTCGACCGAATTAACAAGTCATACGAATACGAACTGCTGTCGTCATTGAAGAATGAGCGATCGTAAAATATGTGCGAGGCCACTGGTGATTAGAGTTGATAAGATTGCCGAGGCGGATCTTCATTAAGCGACGAGTGTGCGCGCATGAATCGGCGTCGTCGACGTGCGGCTTTTAATTACGTGATGCGCGAGACTCGAATCCAAAGATTCCGCGGCCCTGTCTCTCTTTCTCTCGAGGGCTCGTGCGGGCACGACCAGCCAATGCAATTAGAGCTTCCTCGCGTTCGAGCATTAATTTTCTTTGCCCTCGGCGCTTTCCACCCTTCTTTTTCTTCCGAGAGCTTCGTCGCTCTCCTTCTCCCGCTTCCATCTCCGTCTCTTTTTCGCTGGTTATTGTGTCTTAGAATCGATGGTTTTCGCCACTGTGCCACGAATACCATCAGTGCTCGTTAATATTCACCGAGACACGGCACATCCCCGATGATAAATTAAAAAATTTGTCCTTATTCGCGATTGCAAAGCTAGGCGCCTGCGCGATCTGCTTCCCCTGAAAAATGTATAAAATCAATCAGAATATACAAGCAACAACATTGATGTAGTCCCGCCGCAGCACAGTGCATTGTTAATAATAGCTCGTTATTAAAGCAAGCTCGAGCTCATAATAAATGCTCGGATCTTGCTGGAAGCAGCTCGAGTTAAGAGGTGAGTAAGTCGTAAAAGCCCGAAAGGGAGAAAAAAAAAACCGAGCTGAAGAGCGAGTGCGAGGCGCCGAGGGTAGAAAAAAGAGCGAGGAAATCGCTATAACGGGATTAAACCTTCGAAGCTGTAAATGGGTTTTCGGTCGTAGCTGCGAACGATGGAGTGGGAGAGAAATTCTCCTCGACTATACGGCATGGCGACGGCTGCTCTATTAAAGCATTATAATTCAGGAAGAACAACATTCACCGTCAGTCCATAAATAATAAATCTCGGCTGAGGAGCGGCTGAGGCTAGCGTCAGCGATTTCCTATGCAGCACGCCCGACGGATAAAAACGCTTGCCCGTCTTTCTTAGTCGTGCTCTTTATAATGGTATAGCTCTTTTGCTTGTTCCTGCTCCACTTGATTCGCTTGTATCCAAATACCAGCACTCGATTATTGATAAACTGCTTGTCCAACTGAAAAACTTGCAACTATTTCCACACAAGTTGGAGAAGGCTAGCAAAAGAGAGAGAGAGAGAGAGAGAGAGAGAGAGAGAGAGAGAGAGAGAGTACATACGTATATGGCACATGTGCAACGGATCGGACTAACTGTCAGAAAGGAATTGACACGGGACTAAGCAAACCTGTCTATATGCATGCATGCGTACGTGCGTGTGTGTTTGTGTGTGTACAGGATCAGAGCGAGAGAGAGAGAGAGAAAACGAAGATCGACAGGCTGGATGAGGGGCGGTAAGTGGGAGGGATGGGCCGGTTACGTGGCGTTTTCATTAAATTACGATCGCTATCGGCGGACGGACGAACGAGCGAGCAAGAGAGAAAGATCCTTGGCAAGATGGCAGGAAGGCATTTTGGCGAGCGTTCATCAGAAATGCATGGGGTTCGCCGGCGACGCCGCCGCGAAGTCCGAACCAAATCCGAGATAAGGCTGCCGTATACTTTATCTAGATTCGCGCGCCAACAGAGAGACCGAGCATTTTC